GGTTATGGTACATTCAATGTCAGGAAAACAAGCAGATTTTCCAGTTGTGAGGTCATGGTTCAGTTTAGTCAAACTAAAAAATCTTGCTTCCTGATCTGACCCAAATAAACCAGCAGCAAACTAAACACACACACGTGCTGTGCAGCATTGATACCATTGCTTCACATAACTTATTGTTGTTGTTTGTTTTAATTTTGATGAGGACATACTCCAAGCTACTCCAAACATGGATAAATATAAGACGGTGTTTGTGTTATTTGTAAAAAAAAAAGTTTGCCGTTTTTACTTTGAGTTTTTTCTTCATATATCAACATTTATATCACTGTTTGTGTGTCCAAAAATGAGAACTAGAGCAGTTGTCTAAAGAAAATACACCACTGCTGCTCCAATTTGAAGCGTCACGTTGTGTTGAAAGTCATCTGCTCATCTTAATCCTATTTGATAAATAAGTATTACCTGGAAAGATCAGCTTCAAGGACACAAAGTCTTCACACAGAGGTCAGATGGTGACTGAACAAAGCAGTCTGTTTGGATTAAGTTTCTTTACTAAGGTTATGTGCCTGTGTGTCTGTTGATACGTGTGCACTCCAAAGGAGCCAGTAGACTCTCTAGAGGCTACACTAAGTAGTGGAGTGTCCCCAGGGGTCTTACTTCCTCTGAAATATTGACTCAGCACTACAGGAAGAGGTCACACACCAACACTGACACAAAGCCTTTTCCATTACAAGATGTCTCTGTTTTTGTTGTTGGACTGATCTTTTGCTTCTTTTTCCTCTGAGCAATAAACGATGAGCTAATAAACGCTCTCTGGGGGCTTTGTTTTCATGGGACTGTTGACAAATTCTTTCCATCATTCCATGTGATGTCAGGCAAGGATCTGTGGTGTAGATAAGCGTTAAATAAGGGGATATAAAGAAGGAAGTTGTTTTGTTATGTGGGATGTTTGCATTGACTGTATAATTGATTTGACCATTTGTTTTATATATCATTTTCTTAGCTTTCTCTTTTCAATGGCTAACATACCAGGGGAATTCTATCAAAATTATATTTTTCATTATTTTCTATAATCTACTTTTGTTACTAGAGATGTAGCAAAACTTTGTAGCCGAATTCTGAACCTACAGCTTTGTGAAAGTTCAAACAAATGAGAGTAATTCTAGTCAATTACTCTCCAATTTCTCTTTAAGAACAACAGGGAATGTATTTGATTGATTGACTTTATTGATCTCAATGTGGAGATATTTACTCGTTACACCAGCCGAAACAGTCAAAGAAGAAGGTGCCAAAGGAAGAAAAAGGTGCATGGGATATATACAGTATATACAGTGCGTCCACAAGGGTTGTTCAAAAAAATAAATATTATGGTATATTATTATTTGGTCATTATTGAACTAGTTACATAAAACGTTCAGTCTCCTTCTGTCCCGCTTTGCGCTGCCAGTAAGAACAGTTTTGGAGATTTTACTTTGCTAGATCAGCTGTCTTTGTGTATTCTCCAAAGGAATTAGTCATTTACCCAGACTTTGAGCTTTGTAAAAGCCCCTCGGTAGTTTTCAATTCTTTATGTTCGAATTAAGGACAGAGTTTGAACGCCTCGGAAGAGAAAACAAAGCAGCTTTGCTGTAATAGGTTAAATCTCCCTGTTATCTGCTCGAAGTCTGACTCTCGTAGCTGGCTAAATACAAAAAGTACATGTTTATCTTTTTTTTTTACAGTCTTTATTTTTATTCCAGGACCTCATTTTTGAAATAAATGATCAGTAAGGCTAAAGATATATGCCTCATATTCTTTTCCGTCAGTAAACTACTTCCACATTAAAAACTGTTGTTGTCAGTATATCCAGGCAACTCTTGGGTAAATTGCTTTTACTGATTAGGAAAAGTTGGAACTTTAGAAGTTATGAATGAATTTAAAATCAACTCAGTTTATTTCTATAGCGCCTATTCACAACATGTCATCTCAAGGCACTTTACAGTTCACCAGACCATACAGTCAAATTGATTAAAAGTTTTCTATCCAAGGAAAACCAGTTGATTTCATCGACTCATTGCAATCCCTCACACTAAGCATGCTTGTAGCGACAGTGGAGAGGAAAATCTCCATTTTAACAGGAAGAAACCTCCAGCAAAACCAGGCTCAGTGTGAGCGGTTATCTACTGAGGCCGACTGGGGTTCAAGGAGACAGAAGCAGAGATACAAAAGGCAGATTAAACCAAGATTATATGAATAAACCAAGTAATGTTTTTTATTCCAATGGCCCAGGAAAGCAATTCTTCTATATTAAGCTTTTGTAGAAAGCAGGCACTTTAACACCCCCAAATCATTCTGGTCAATAATAATTCTCAGTCTAATCTCTACTTTTAGGTGCACATTATACCCTCATGCACAAAAAAAACTCAAAATTATTAGCTATCAATTATGGAACTGTTTCATAGTTTCAGAGGATTTATACAAAGTTTTGATCAAAATGTATAATGTTCTTTTGAATTAATTTATTTAAAATTCATAATTGTTAACTATAAGATTTTAAATTAAATTGGCATCTAAATTGTGATGTTACTGTTATCCATTCCTTAATTCTATTTCAATATTAACCTAAATTTAGTTAAAATCCTGAAGCTGGAGAACAAAAAAACTATCTGCTTTTAAATTTACTCTTATTTTTTATATTTGTGTTGAAAATATCCTGAGGACAGTAAGTTAAAGCATCAATAGAAATTCTTGATATGAAAATTCATATAAACTTATAATGTAGGAATAAATCTGAAAACAAAGGAAACACTGAACAGATTTAGAGAATATATATATATTTTTTAATCAGCTAATACTATCCTGGAATCTCCCATAAGTTATTTGGGAATTTTAACCTTGTATCTTTTATCTGTTGCACACTATAATTTAATCTTTATAAGGATATTTATATTCTGTTTGAATATTCTTAATGTACTGAGAACAGTACATAAAGATATTCTGTAGACTTTTAAAGACTTTTAAAGACAGACTTTTAAACTATCGCTGAAGAAGTAGGATATCTATATATAAACTATAGATTTGAAATGAGGAGATGGATGCTGGGATGTCACTAATCAGAGATGGACCTTCATGATGGAGTCATCACCTCTTAATCAGATGACAAAAGAGAAACCTGCCTTCTAGGTTTCTCTGGAGCTTTCTAGGCGGAACATCCAAAACATGATCCTCAACATGTCATGCCGGCATAGAGCAAAGCGAGACCGTAACGCCGTCCTGGAGGGGAACAGATTCCTCAAAGTCCCTGTAGTCTATTTATGTATGAAACCAGCCGGACTCAAGGCTGAGAATGTTTGGAGTGTGATTGTGTGAAGCTGCAGCGCGCGCGCTTTGTCAGGACGTGCAGGCCGACATCAAGGACGCACAACAAAAACACTTTGAGCCTTTGGTCTTCATCTAATTGCTGGTCATAGGTGCTCTTTCTAAATCCCCCTGATCTGCTGCTTTTATTTTGGAAACAATGACAGGTGTTTGACCTCTGTTATTTGAGCCTCTACCACCTTATTATGCTTCTTTATTAAGACTTCCGATAGGAAGGATTTCTAAAAAAAAATGTTTCTCATAACCCCTTCTGTCATTTAGGAAGGTATTTTAAGCCAGTTATAAATTCAGGGTAATAAGTGTTCAGAGAACAGCCCACTTAATATCCTCTGTCATAAATTATTCAGAACTTTACCGGGACGGCCCTGGCACCGCAGCCAGCTACCATCTGCTCTTTCAAAGCGACTGTGTGTCAGCATGGCGTTGTACAGTAACTGGTCTGGCCAAAGTTCAGACCCAGCCCCGACTGTAACAACCAGTACACATTAACAGGCTATTTGTGGTGCGAGCAGGGTGTGAGCCCTTGAGTTCATGTTACAACAAGAAGAGAGGTTATCAGCTATCACTTATCAGTCCTGATAGGATAATCGCGAGACTCTGACAGTTTTGTGGCAGCAAACAGACCTGGATCACATCAGAGAGTTTCTCATTCTGAATGTTTATATTTTTTAAATAACCACTAGAATGAATTCACAGCTAAAAGGTGGTAAAATAGATGGTTATTTATATTATATCTGAACACCTTCATGAAGATCAGTGCATTATGTTATTTTACTATATAAATTGTCCATTTGTCCTGTTTTTGCATTTCATTTGACAATTGGAGCTCTATTTACACAGCAGGGGCCACATTATGTTCTGATCCATAAAACCAACCCCCAAAACACCAAACACAGGTTTTTAGGCTAAATCTGGTCGGTCCGTCACAGTCTTCAATCCAGAAATAGATATTTTTTTAAGAATGTTTTGTCAACAAACTGAAAATTACCGCCATTCACTTTTCAACCAAATGTAGATGTCTTTTGGACGTAAATTATGTCCTCTTTTCAACAAATTTTTGCTCGGTGGGAAAGATCATTGTATAATTTATCTGCATCAAAGTAGTTTTCATTTTAGCTAAACGGTTTCAGTAATTATTACTAAATGGATTGAAATTTAAACTCAAGTTTCCAGGATATGATCTGCTTTAAAAATAGACTGAAATAACTGATAGATCATTGATAATTAATGAATGAATTTCTGATTTTGTTTTTAAAGACTTTATGGATCACACTAAAACATGTTGATGTGCAGATAGAAAGTATTTGAATCAGTGGCATCACAAACACTGCCTGGATTGTTTCTCACTGAATTTTTAAACCTTACCTTTTATATTCTTAATTGACTTTTTTGGTTCTCTATAAAATACTGAAGTTGATATAAGTCCCATTGTTACTCTACATGTTATTAATATAAAATCATTCCCATCCTTTAGCTTCTCTGTTTCATGACACTCAAGAGTGACAGAAAATAAAATAAAATATTTAAAGTTATTATGATTAAATCTGATTGATTTATACTTGGATAAAAACATATTGCTCATCTGGTTTTTTAGCACATTTTTGTTGATGTTTCAGATTCTTACTGATAAACCTGTCTGTCTTCTTCAGGGAAGTCCCATCTGGCCATTGTCCAGAAGGTGAACAATGAGGGGGAGGGAGATCCTTTCTACGAAGTGTTGGGGTTGGTCACGCTTGAAGATGTGATCGAGGAAATCATTAAATCAGAGATTCTGGACGAATCAGACCAGTACAGTAAGTGCTTGTTTTTTTTAACATGACTTAACATGGCTGCAGCTTATTCATTCATGTTTGCTTTGTGGAATATTTACCTGAATGTACGACCCATGTAATGATTTGTAAGCTTTTAGTAAATATGGCATATTATATTGATTTTTATAGTTATTCTGAATGGTGTCTTTTTCTCTTTATCACTTCTAAGCTGACAATCGCACCAGGAATAGAGTGGCGCCCAATAAAAACAAGAGAGACTTTTCTGCCTTTAAACACGAGAGCGAATCCAAGGTGAAGATCTCTCCTCAGCTTCTGCTGGCTGCTCATCGCTTCCTGGCCACAGGTGAGGAAACTTTCCTCAAACTGACAGTTGTAGCTGCATTTGTCGATGTGTTAGCTCCACATAAATAAATATTGCTGTTATTACAGTATCATATTCCCAAAGGAAATCTGAGAAAAATCCAACATTTAATTTAATTTCAATTATTAAGTAGGGGAAAGTTAGCCTGACGCAGTCCTACTCAATTCTAGTCAGAATATGAGTCTGATACTGCTCCATAGAGCTGTGATTATGGGGCATGTTTCGAACGAACCAGGAAAAAATATGCCTCTGCAATCAATTGGATAGACCTACAACCAATACGAGCAATGGAGTGCGTGGCATATGTTAAGCGACGCATAGTTGTTGTCAACAAAACTCAAAGCGTGCAGTTGCACGCCTATAATAAGAAGATGAGCCTTGATCGCGTTTCTCTGTTCCTCTTTTAAAATGAATTTGCTGTCGAGATCTTCTAGAACAGACCTAATAGCAGAATCTACTCACCTCAACTCTCCAGCGGCAGCCATTGTTGTTGACACCCAAGCGCGCTTTGGTCACGTGGTTGATTACGTTACTGTTGATCATCTGTCCATCATCGTATAAAGCCCGCCCTGACAATTTGATTGGCCCGCCAGATATTGTGCGAGCATACTCACGCTACTATTGAGCAATGCCAGACCGAACTTCCCGACCTCAAACGTTGTGGGCCGGACTAAGTTCGGAATGGCACCCAGGCTAGGGGAGAGTAGGGTTAAGCCACAATTGTTTCTGACAAAGCCACAGATGCACCTCTATCAGTTTATACAAAAGTTTATTTACAGTTTTGTTTGTCTCGGGTATTAATATAATTTATTTAAACCACTCTGAAATAGGAAAGTCAAGGAAAAATTCTGAGCCAAATGCTTTGTACCAGAAAATGGACCAGAGAAAGTAGAGACTACTAGATCAAATCTACAGTCAGAGCAATGATTAAAAAGCTGTAAACAACTGGAAATCTGACACAGTACGCTGGAGAAGGACTGAGGTTTGTTTTTCTGTCAGACACAGTGGTAAGGGAAATTAAGAAGCACTCGTATAAGCAGAAAGCCTCCACTGGTCGCCACTACGGACCAACGGTTTGTTGGGAAGCTAAAAACAGCCTTTCCTGTCCTACCATCACAAACATAAATGATTTACTAAACACCAATGGGACTATAAGAAGAACTACAGTGATGGGGTCAAATTTAGATTAAGCTTTTAATGACCACTAACTACCAATGTGTATGGTGGAGGATCTGTGATGCTGTGGGGAACCGTGTGTAAGCATGTAGCTGTTTTAGCCTCTTTATCCTATTGGGAAAACTGGAATACAAACTGGGAGGCTTCTTTTTGAGAACAGAAAAAGGCTGATTATTTGATATTAAAAATTATTAGTATTGATTCAAACGATCATTGAAATAACAGAGGAAGGATTTCCCAGACGCTAAATCAGCCTTCCTCTTTCTCTTAGTCTCTGTTTTTACATCTTGTACAAATGTTGTATGGTGAGTGGAATAGAAGCTGACATGAGTAGTGGAGAAGACAAAGATCTTGTTGCTTTATGCTCTAGCCTTATAAAATATAAAAAAAGCTAAAGTCTTCTTGGCTAAACCAGGTTTTAAAAACTATGAACAACATAATCTTTTTTGTTTCAATAAAAAGCTAATGATCAGTTAATGTAGGATTATTTTCCCACTGAGCACCAAATCTGCTACTTAGTTTATTCTCAAGCCAAAGAAGTCTTTCAACAGCCTAGTCGTCATTAATTGCTACACCCCTTCCCCATATTCTTCCTGTCATCAGACAACAGTGATACCTCCCCCAGACACATGAAGGACATCTGAAGACATTTACACCTAAAGGAAAATGTTATTTGCTTGTTCCAACCAGCAGACCATGAACTCTGCTCTGCTTCGAGAAGCCATCCCACATCACTTGAGAACACGTTTTGCAGCCTGTCAGGTTAGCGTGCGTGTTAGCTGATATGCTCTGCCACAAACTGCTAACGGCTCATGGCCTGACGCAGCACTTCTGTGCACAGGATGTCTTCCTGTTTTGGCAAAACCCTGGTCTCAGCTGAGTTTATTGCAGTTTTCCCTCAAGATGATTGTTTCATTAAGAGGGAAATACATTTTTCTAATATTTTATTTAAATGATTTAATAGCCTTTCTTTTAATCTTCATTTCCTCTCTGAGCTTTTTTTCACAGTAATAATCTCCACTATGGCTGAAACAAATAATCAGATTAATTCCGATTAATTGATTATTGAAATAATTGTCAACCTATTTAGTAATAAATTACTCATTAACTGGAGTATAGAGACTCAAAAAGCAACCCAATTAGTAATTACTCCAAAATTGTAAAAGATATATAAACAGTTTGCATTTAAGCTAAAGAAAAAAAACAAAAAAAAAAACTTTCCTCTGCCAGTATGCTCTATCCAGAACTCCTGAAGTGGAAAAGTTTTAGTTTCACCTGGTTTAGTTTAATAAAAGTTTTCTTTAAGAAACTATCTGATTATCAATTGAAAAAAGAATTGACAGATTAATCGATTTGCAAAATAATCATTAGTTGCAGCCCTTATCTCCACCAGCTTCCTTTACTTATGTCGGATTTTCAGAACTGCTATGGTTCAATACAGATTATAGATATTAGATCAAATGAGATGAAGGTCAAACAAATTAGGGAAGTCTAATATATAACTAGAATGTTTTGTTTGCAGTGATATGTTTTTTGTTAGAAGCACATAGTGGGTGTGGCCTGAGTTAATACGTTAACTAGAATGAGGAGAGTTTGTTTGAATAACTACCTTCAGCCATACTTTACTCTGCATATATCACAGGGCTTTGTTTCTTTGTTCCTAGCTTGGGCGGAGGCCCGGCTGAGCACGGATTGCAAAAGACTGACCGGGTTGGGAAATCGGTGTGGATGAAAAACATTTCTAAAATTCCTGCTAACAGGGGTACTGCAGATAACATGAAAGGCCAACAAATATGCGTTTAAAGGAAGGTAGATGGGAAGGCAGTTTGGCTTTGGAAATATTCTGAGAACATTGTTGTTGTTTTTTGTTTCTTTCTCTTGGAATGAACCAGTGGCATAAGCGCTCATAAAAACGTTAAATATCAGAATATTTATTTCAGAATTTTATGAAGAATTTCCACCATGGCTAAATAATATGTAGAAAATATAATAACACTAATAACACAAATAATAATAACCACTGGGCTGACACTTCCCACTCACCAAATATGCACTTAATGAAAAACAAGGAAAACACAACATGAATTTAGAGAGACCAAAATTAGTTCTGTGCCTTAGTAACTGTGCCTTAAAACCTTTAAGACTACTTTAAAAAAAAAAAAGCCATCTTCTCATGTTGTGACTTTGAAAATGAAATCTGAGAGCTGTTTCTGCAAGCCTTAAAGTAAGATGTGTTACATTGTGCCCTAGATTTTGTAAAATCATAAAGCTCTTTGACTTGTCTTACTGCTATGGTGATTTTAAGAGCTTCCTAATATCGATTATTTTTTGTCTTTTTATTGTAAAGTTTGTGAAGTTTGTAAAATGCGATACAGTCGAACTGTATGTTATCTGGCTGCAGATCTGACAAAGTTAATAGTAATTTCGTTATTATTGGGCTATCTTCTTGATTTCAGCGTGCAATTGGCTGATTCTGATTCTTTTCCTCTAAATAAAGAAATGTGTTAGAACCTTTTTTATAGCCAGTTCAGTGGCAGTGTGCAGCAACATGTTAGGAAGGGGCAATGAATAGAAATCAAATATTGGTATTTCCTTTCTGTGGAGGATTTTTCGTTTTTTCTTGAAACTCGCCCTCTCTACGTTAAAAAAGAAAAAAAATGCACATACAAAACCCTGTACCCGCTCCCAAGAGGGAACGCCTATTAAACATGTGCGAGAGCGTGCATAGGCCCATTTCTCCTCGTCCAGGCTGTTTAAAAGTTGCACAGCTCATACAAGCTTACTGTCCCTGAATGTACGCCCTAAACCCTTAATCCCTCAATCACTATATAGAGCGGGGACTATATAGCAAACTCTGTTAACTGACAGTACAGACAGATGATCACTAATTTTGGCTCCTGGTTGGTCACGTAATCGTCCTCCAGTGCGTGATCCCTGATTAGTTGCCGCTGTTGGTTAGCGACAGCCTATGGGGACAGCGGGCCACTGTGAAAGCAAATCCCAGAATGCATTGGGAGGAGAGCTCTCTGCCCAAAGCGTTACGGGATATATCCGCCTCTTCTAAGGCCTTTCTTTTCTTCTCATACACTTCGTAGACCCTTTTTCTCTTATGACCCTCGGCCATTTTTAAAGAACCGGGGTGAGAAAGGTGAGCTTCAGTGACTGTCTGAAAAAGTAGCTCACCACAGATATACGCCTGAAAGTGTTCATGTGCAGAAAAAGATAGCTAAAAGGACGAGCACGTAGGACGGCCTTACGTAAACATATAACCAGAATGATTGACAATTAGGAGGACCACTTATTTAGATGATCCACCCGGAAATAAAAGATTGTCTCTTATACCTTTTATGTCCTTTTATTTAAATAGTTATTTAAACGAGAAGGGGAGGATGAGGAAGAAGGTTATGTTCAAGTGTGGCTGGGTACAAAGCTCTTCAAATGATTGTAGGTCGTTGCTACAATCACACTAGATACTAGGTACTCTTAATTTATTTAATTGGATTTATTAAAAAATATATATTTGTTTATAAGAAAATAACAGTAGAATAATTTAAACCTAAATCTGAACTCTATTTTGTGTAGTAAATAGAGAAATGGTTGACTGTGTTATGTGGCATTTTACAGTTAAAGGTTAGATTTAATTATTAATGAACCTGAGGAAGAGCTGCTTACTTATCTTTTAAAATGTATACCTTTTCTCCATTCAAGCAATAGAAACTACAGTAAGATAATAGCTGAGGGGTGATTATATATTTCCATCTCAGGGGGAAACTCTGAGATCCAGGACTGGAAATCTCCAGGCAGCAAGGTGAAACACGTCATACAGGTTTTCCTGCCGTTAGGGATGTAAACAACAAGCCTACCATGGGAAAACTCTGTGTGCTGCTTATGTCCTATATGTGCGGGCAGCAGGGAGGTTCCCTCAATGTAATCTGAACTCAATTACTCAATACTTTACTAATAACCTACAATCAACATGTTTTACTGCTCATGTGATTATGTTCTGTCGGCCCCAAAGGTTTGATCCATAAAGGAATGGAAACCACAGATCCTAATGGAATTTTATTAAGAAGGAAAAGATCTGGAAAATGGTCTCATCTACTCAGTTATGACACTTTTAAAAATAAAACATCCTTCTATAGATTATTGGCTTTTAATTATTTGATTACTCTTCCTCAAGATTTACAACCAGCCTCTTGATTGTCAGAGTTCATTGTAACCTGATAATCATGCTGTGACATTTTATAATAAGTAAACATTAGTTATGTCTTATGATACACAGAGACATTTTAGCCCTCTGTTATCAAAAGTTGGTTAGAAGCCCAAAAGTGAAATAACCTTTAGAGAAATATAAATTAGACCAACACTGATCATCCTTTCTGACATTGAGCAATAGGAGTACTCTTTAAGAACTTTAGAACAAAGAAATATGTAAAAATATGACTGGAGGAAAAAAAAATGCTTTCCATGCTTATGAGGGATTCAAATAATTCAACAATAAGTAAGTTACCCCATTTAGTAACCACATTTTTTCTATGCTATAATATACCACTATGAAGGACCCGGAGAGCCTTGGGTTACAGGCCCCTGATCCAAACCGATCCAAATCTGACTTTACGCTCAGTATTGTCAACCTGAAAGTGACCCTCATTAAATGGTTTATGTCTTTTTGATGCCTCTAATCATTTCCTACAGTATTACCCCACATTAAGTTCTATTTACCTTTTGTTAACCTCAACCAGTTTCACTTTTCCTAGTGGGAGAAAAAGCATCCTTGCTGCATGATGCTGCCACTACCATGTTTTAACATGGAGCTGATGTGTTCAGGATTAGTCCATTCTCCTCACAGCTCTTAGCAGTTAGGCCTGAGAGATTAGATTCGTTTTTATCTCTTATTCCACATACATTGCACTTCGGTATCTGAATTAAATAGTGGCTGTTGTTTTTTTAAGATTACTAAACTTGAGCCAGAATGCTGTAGATTTGAAAAGATGAAGTTGAAACTGATGACATGAAATAAGTTCATATTTTTGTGTTTTTGTTTGTTTGTTTTTCTGCAGAAGTGAGCTTGTTCAGCCCAAATCAGATCTCCGACAAGGTGCTACTCCGAATCTTACGGCATAACGATGTCATCCAGGAGATCAAGTTTAATGAAAACGACAAGCGATCGCCTCATCACTACGTCTATCAAAGGGGCAAGGCTGTTGACTACTTCATTCTCATTCTGCAGGTAGGAAATAAGTTTGGGGTGGGGGGGGTGAAGGGTAAGGAACAAAAAAAAAATGAGAGTGTCTAAAGCAGTCTGAATATAAAGATCCTCCTATTCTCAATTATGGATTCCAGATGTACATTTTACAAAAATGTGTCTGAATCATATAGAGCGCTTACTGATTCCTGTATACAATTGGTCTATTTATTTTACAGTCTGCTTAAGGAATTTTCAGGTGATTCTTTGACACATTTTTATATTTTTGATACAGTGATTTGTTTTTTTTGTGATATACACAGCTTTTGACTGGCCTATTCTATGTTACCCTGAGGTCTGACTGGCAGGTACCAGTTCTCTCTGTGGAACCGTTCCGACTCTGTTTCAAGTTAGTTGACAGTAGGAGTAGTTTTGAAGTAAAATTAGACTTTAAGGAACCAAAGTTTGTTCACGTTCATCGGTCAAAGCATCTGATGCTAACTTTGACCAGGCTATCCTCATAGAGTGGTCTGTCTTACAGGTTTCTGGAGAATCCTTTGACTGAAGACATTGTTGTTTATAAGTTTGCAGCGATCAGTTGTTTTAGTAATAGATAAATCTATCGATTATTTATTTTTGACTAATCTAAAAATAGATACTTTACGTAAATTAACATCTCTGAATAAACTGAATTGGAAAATGTAAAAAAAAAAAAAAACCTTTATTGCACCTTTAAATCAATTGCAAATGGCAAAACTAAAAGAAATATATATATATACCGTATATATATATATTTAAAACTTTTTTTTATATATAAAACTTTTTTTTTTATTTTTTTTATTGAAAAATGTTTATATTGTATATTTTTAGTCTTAATTACTGCTGGTGGTAGGTTATTGTTTCAGAAGACTGCCTGTCTTTGCCTTTAACCAAGTTAGTTGAAGATTACTGAAGAAAAGACGATTATTCATGGTGATATGAAGAAAATCTAATATCACGATATATTTGGGCTATAATCTCGATACACTATATATATCAATATGTTACAGTCTAATCTGTCCTTTCTTGTATATGACTTCAGTTTCATTCCCAGTTAAGTCAGTTGTCTAGGTGAACACAGAGGTATTTAGTGAGCCACCAACTCCACTTCTTCTGCTATAATGTTAACTTGTGTAATCTACATTTAAATCTCTGTGCTCATATGGTCAGAAACCTGACTAGATTATGATTAGAATATGATGCTGTAGCCATGCTTCAGTAAAAAACATAATACTGCATTTTTGATATTCGTTCTGGGTCCCTATATGGACTTTGAGTTCCTCTAACTTGTTTCCTCAAGATTTCACATTTTCCATAATGATTGATGGAGGAGATGGCTTGATTTTCCTCCTCCTTTCTCTTCTCCTTGCTTCTGCTCTATACCCTCAACACCTCCTTTTAAATTCAGCTGAAACCTGTGGAAGTAACTGAAATATTATTTCAGCTTTGGAGAGGTTAATGAGCTGCTCCCAGGTTTGGAAAACTGTGGTTACTTAGGCCCCTGTCACACCTTGACGATTTTGCCAGCGTATGCCTAACGTACGAAAAATCTGGCATACATTGAATAAGTTATTGAATAAGCTATGTATATACCCAAATTTGAAAAAGTACATAGAAAATTCAGCATATGCCAGCGTTTTTTAAGGTTCTGGGACATCAGGCATACGCTGGCTAAATCCTCAAGGTGTGACAGGGGCTTAAGTTTTTGCATCATAACAAATTTCTAAAAATGAAAGGATAGTGGCAAAAATCCTGTCAGCTGCACAGCAACCAAGAGCAAAAGTAAAAAACAAGACATTTAGATCCGCTAACAGAGAGACCAAAGCTTTCTTTCAAATAATATCACAGCTAGCATAGCTACTCCAATGTACAGCTACCTTAAGCAGCACAATTCTAGAAGTATCGGTCAATCAGCGATCATTGTTGATCAGTAGCAACTCCTTTATCTTATTAGCTTAACGCCGCCAAGCTAAGCTTTAACAAATATAATGATTTCAGTGAAACATTTAACTGTTTGTTTACATAAAAAAAAAGGTTTGACTGATTGTTAAATAGATGTCATTAGTCAGATGTAGATCTTGCAATGCATTTGAAAAATATTAACATTGTTTACTTTTACAAGTAAAAGTAAAGAGATAAAAGAGAATATATATGTTTATGTAATGATGGATGGATGAACAGACAGGTCAATAGGTGTATAGATGGATTAAAGATGATTATGTATTAAAAATGATTGTTAAACATTGTAAAACTTTTAGATACCCAGTAAGTTTGAGGTTTGCCATCCATCTAGCTGGAAGGAAAAAAAACCTTGTGTGGTGTTGTTCGCTCTGCTTTCCTCGAGTTTCATTTGGTGAGTTATTATTGCCAATTATCATATTTCAATCAGATTTTAGGTATAGCTGCTGTGCAGGTATTGTCTTTCTGTTACTTCACATACCTGCATTCGTTCAGCAAACTCACAAACATACCAGGCTTGACGTGAGAATCTCTTTCCATGGTTGTTTACACGCTGTGGACTGAACATAAATATCCACCACTGCTTTTGCTCTTCGGCTTGATCCAGTCTGTGCCTTTGTGCATGAACTGTTTAATCCCACCGTTCCACGCAAGCTCATTTCCCACACTTTGGTGGGGTTTTTGGTCCGAAACAGTCATTATGGTTGCTTCAGCTTCTCTTCGCTGCTCTGCTGTGCAAGCTTTTCCTAGTGGGAGGCCGGATATAACGGCTGATGAGGACCCCACACGAGGAATCTTCTGACACCTTTCTGTGTGTTTCTTTTCAAATTATAAGGCTTTTCTGTTGGATTCCTACAGCTAACAAACAGGATAAGTAAAAACAAGGCTCGCTTTAACAGGTGCTGAAGAAAAAGAGATATGTGTGGCTCATTGTTGAAACATGTCGGCCTTATTTTATCTCCAAAGCTGGGTTGTAGCACATTTTCAAAACCCATTTTCTTCAACTATTTACTTTGCTATGTAAAAAAAACTCACCAGCACTTGCTCATCTGTCTCTCTGTATTTAAACATATCCGTCTCTAGATGTGCAAAGCTGCTAGGGACATTTTTCAATACTTGCAAAGAAACAAGACGTTCTATTTCCTCAGTATTTCCTCTAGGGAGGAGCACAGCAACACATGCCACAGTATTTACTTCTTATTAGTAGAAAAGGTTAAAAACTATGTATTTCTTTTTTTTTTTTTTATATTAACAGCCTTAGTTATTGTATATTGCATCAATAATTAGGGTTAGAGTTTTTCTGGTTGGTATTATTAATGTTTCTACTAGCCAAGTAAGTGTCCTGCCAAAGAGGACCTAGCGATGAGGGTGATGTGAAGGATCATTGTTAAGGATAATTATGGGCAAAATGTTCTCCAAATAAGAACAAACTGACTGAAGGAGGAATGAAAAAAAGCTCAGATTTAAATTTTACATGAGCAAGGCCTATTTTAAGGTCATATTTCTGTAATGCTCAATCCAATCTGACATGCTTATTTTGTGTTACAGCTTATAAGGTAGAAACTTGCTATAAATATATAGAATTAATGACACCTTTTCACTATTCGGTAAAACAGAGAAAACATCAAGTTGACTATATATTCTTTTAGTATTTTTATTGGAGCCAAAAGAGTAAATAACAAAACATAAATAAATTTATATATATGT